GCCCCCCGACTATTTTTGGATTATTTTTTGATTATTTTTTGGGTATTTCTCATTTTTCGTCGAACATCCCCCTGTAGGGGGACAGGCCCGACTTTACGGTACATGGGGGGTGACGAAGCTGCCTCTAAGCCGCAAGCCGTCTCGCTCACTCCCACCCACCCTCCCTCCCAGCACAAGCCGAGTTTCAGCAGATTCAGCGGCAGGCGTTGGATGGACAGCCACTTGGAACTGCTAGAGACGCTTGGTGCGCGACACTGCCTTGGTGCCCAACACGTTCCACGCTCGCCGCGCGCACTGGGAGAGCTATGCGCCCCGGGGGCCCAAGAGTGCCAGGCGCGCCTGGTGCGCCATATGCGCCACGTGCTCCACATGTGCCAAGCGTGCGGGGTGCTGAGCACTTGGAGCACGTCGTGCTCCACCCGCGCCATTTCCGCCAGTGCGCGTGACAGCACACATCGGTAAGCTTGTCGGTCCCCCAGCATCCTGGTCAACATCAAATGCAACATGCCTGTCGGTCCTCCAGCTTGTCGGTCCCCCAGTGTCTGACATGTTCAGACACAATCGCGTTGCGTCGGATTTCGATAGGGATGGTGTGCCTGCGCGAACGAGACAAAATGAGCCCCCACGATCCCCCACATTAGAATAAGACAAAGTGATATCGGGGCGCCGGCGCATAGTCCAACAGGGTGCGCTTTATATTGCTTTTCGAGCGGGATAGCAGGGGATGCTGGCATCTTCCCTGCTTTGTCGCTGGTCGGGTGGGGAAGGCTTTTGCCATAAGGAGCACGGGCCAACCCTGCCCCGATGGGGAGCAGGGGGAGGCTGGACGAGGCAACGGCAGAAGACCACCTCAGCCAAGAAGGCTGGTGGGGGGCCCAGGCGAACACGCACAGTGGCGACGAAGAGCCCACCATCACCACCATGGTTAGGAGGAGGAGGAGGAGGAGGAGGAGGAGGAGGCCCCACAGAGCTCGGAGCTGCAGCACGCGTCGTGGCGCCGTTGCAGCCCTTCGTGGCCACCACGACTCCGCGAGCGGCCGACGCACGACTACGGCCGTGCTTCGAGCCAGCGCTGTCCTCGTGCAGAAGGTCGCTGCCCGTCTGGCCGGCGGCCGCCCGTCCAGCGCCGCCACCTTTACGCACAGCTGTGCAGGGTACACAGCTTGTCAGGCCCCTATATGCCGCCACGCTGGTTCCGGGTAGGCTGTGCTGTCCCGCCCTGGATCACCGCCCCACCGCTTCCGCACGCCGCGCCCGTGCCAATCTCTCTCTCTCTATGCTCCGACGCCGCCGCCGCGACCGAGCGCGCGGCCAGCGTGCGGATCATGTATTAAAAATGCAGGAATTTAGTACTAAGAACAACGATGAGTTCATGCACAACTTTATTCCTAAATTAGTCAGCGGCACCGCGCTGCTGGGCGGGGCCCAGCGCGCCGATGGAAGCCAACTTGTCCGTCGCAGCGCGGCAGAGGCGATCCGCGCGCGCGTCGTGGCGAGACGGGGCCACGGCATCGCGAAGGAGCCCGCAGGCGAGAGGGGGAGGAGGGAAGGAGTGCGGCCGCAGAGAAGGGGCCAGGGCGCGGGGGCACACTCACGCAGCGAGGCTGCTTCGGGTGCGCGGGCGCGGCGGGGCTGAAGGGTGGCCCCTGGCAGCAGCTGCGGGTCGGCGTCGCAGTACACCCAGAGGGGGGGGGCAGCAGCCACAGTGCGGGCAAGGCCCAGCCGAGGGGGGAGGCAGCCGCGTGGGAGCCGGCGGCGGCCAGGGGAAGTGCGCCAGTTTTGCAGCAGTTGCGAGGGGCCCAGGCGGCGGGTGGCGAGTCAATGGTGCGGCTGGCCGACCCGGCGCAGGGCACGGAGGGGGTGGCGGAGGCCCTTGAGAAGGACAAGCGCCATGCCGTGCCGACGGAAGAACAAAGGAACGCTCTATCTGCCAATTTTGGTGTTCAGACTGTGGGGGGATCCCAGGGTCTGGGGGATCGTCCGGCTGCTCCTCCTCCTCGTCATTCTCATCAAAATCATCATCATCATCATCATCATCATCATCATCAGCATCAGCATCATCATCATCATCACCATCACCATCACCATCACCATCACGATCACCATCACCACTATTCCTCCTCTCTCATCCTGGCCTTCCTCTTCGTCTTCCCTCGCTTCCTCATCCTGCCCCTCCCTGCCAAGACAGCCGAGAATGGCCCCGCCGCTCAATCTGCCTTGGAATCCAGGTCTTGAGCGCGCGGGTATGGATTCGTCAGGAATGTTTGCTTCGCGTGCCGTTCCGCTGGCTCTGGCCCACCACGCTTCAGTGCGACACGCTGTCCACTTCCCTGCCCAGCGTCAACAGTCGCGAGCCTGCCCGAGCCTCCCACCACGCGGAGCAGAGCGACACGGCATTCGCTTGCCAGGCGTAGCGTGTCGCCGGGGCCGCCGCCGCGATGGGCTAAACACGAGTTTCGACCAGTTGCGACGCGTCCTGATCTGCCTATAGGCCCACCAGACAATGGTCAAATAACGTCGTGTGGTCTGCACGAAACTGCACGACATGTTATTCGAACGCTTCTGGCTGACACTCTTTTCTGGTTCAACTCAGATTGCTTTTGTTTTAAGCAAATTGTTTCGCTGTGAGAACATTTCCGGGTTATCGGGCCATGCCGTGGTAGGCCAATAGGAATGCCAGGACTTCTTATGATTTGCGCGGAATTTTCTTATACTGTTTCTGGTTGACGCTGTTTTGCTTCAGTGAACCGCGCGTATGTTCAAATAAAATTTTTCTCGCTTTTAGAATTTTTGCTGTGATTTGAGACTCGTGGTGGGCCTGTAGGAATGCCTGGACGGTCGGTCCCTGCTGAAAAGTTTCCGACCGTGTGTTCCATCTGCACGTAAGAGTGACCCTTCGCCAGAGTGGCCTTTGGTGCGGGCCAAATGGGGCCCCCGATCGCCGAGCGCGAGAGGGCACTAGTTCCTGGCGCGCTCGTGTCCGGTCCCCCCGCGGCTGCCCGAAAAGCCGCGCACCAAAGCGCACCAAAGGGCACTCGTGCCCAAGGCCACCCTTGGCGCGTAGCCGAAACATGTTCCCGACCGTGTGCTCGCCGCTCGTGCCGTCGAGCGGCCCCCAGCGCGCGACCTCGCGGCGCCCGCCTCGGGGCGCCGCCTCGGGGCGTCCCTCGTCCACCCGAGCTGCCCCGAGCGCAGCCGGCCGCCGAAGGCCCCACGGAGGTGGCAGCGACGACGACGACGGCGACGGCGACGGCGCCGGCGACGACGACGACGGCGACGGCGACGGCGACATCGACGACGACGGCGACGGCGACGGCGCCGACGACGCGCAGCCGCTCGAGCTGCCCCGAGCCCAGATGGCCGCCCTCACCGCGCCGGCCCCCGCGGGCACGGCGCGCCGCGGGCGCGGGCGGGCGGCTGCGGCCGAGCATCGCCCGGCGGCCCGCCGGCCGCCCGTGGAGGGAAGCGGCGATGCATCGGCACGAACGAAGTGGGTACGGACCGAATGGGTGCACTGCCCAGCAGCAGTTCCTGCTCATTCTGAGCAGGACTCGCTGTCCACGCCGCCGCGGCCTGTGTCCATTCGAGACAGGAGGCCGCCTGCCCAACAGCGGCCGCCGTTGGTTTGGGACAACAGTTGATGTTGGGCATTGTACCCATGCTTTCCGTACTCACTTCGGGCGCCCAAGATGGCCACGCAGAGCCTCGGGCGGTGAGGCTTCGGGTGGCGCACAGAAGCCCCCCCCCCCAGACAGAAGTCGGGCATCTGCATGAGGAGTTTTTTCATGAGTTTTTTTGCATTTTTGCATGAAGTCGGGCGTCAGGCAAAAAAGAATAGTCTGGGGACGATTCGTCGACTATTTTGAAATCTTTTTCTGCATTTTTGGATTCTGGATCTGTTTCTTCCAAAATCCGCCTGTAGAAGGACATGCCCGACCCAACCCCCCGCTGGCCTTCACACGGTACGATCGAAAAGGGTATGGAAGACATTGTGACGAAGATCGGTTGCTGTTCTCATTCGTTTGGAACCGGGCTCATTGTCGGTCGGCAAGAAGTCGTGGACGTCGTCCGCTTGAGACGAGAGGTCGCCTGCCCATGAGCGGCCGCTGTCGGCTTTCGACAGTCCTGTTGGACATCGTGCCCATGTTTCCCGTAACCACTTCGGCTGCCTAAATCAAGAGGCCACCCGAGTAGCCCGGGTCGGTCTCGCGCCTCAGCTCCGGGGCGCGGAGCGCCCCCGGGGGCGCCGCGGGAGGCGGCGCCAGGGTGTCGAGACCGCCCTGGACTACCTGGGGGGCATGTCGAGGCCAGCTGGAACTATCCCGGGGGCCTGTTGAGGCCAGGCTGGACTCCTTGTGGGGTTGTCTGCGCGCAACCCGAAGCCCTACTCTGTGTCCCTCAATAGTTCTGGGGGTACCTGTAGTCCGGGGAGGGTACCCGTACTCCGGGGGAGGGGTGCCTGTAGTCGGGGGGGGGGGAGGTACTTGTAGTCCGGGGGAAGGGTACCTGGAGTGCGAGGGAACGGCTCCGGTACCTGACGGGGTACCATCCTCGGGCTGCATCGCGAAAGGGGGCACGGTTCGAGGTTTGAGGCTGGAGCTCGTCGGGCGTCTTCGTGGGCTCCCGTGGGCCTTCCTCGCCTCGGGGGGGCTCTCCCGCAGCTGCGCCTCGCCGAGGGCGCTCTGGGGGGGCTGCTCGAGCCAGCCCGGCCGAGGAAGGCCCGAGTTCTGCCCTGAGGACCCAGACCCCTCTCAGGAGGGAAAAACACACACAGAGACACAATGAATCGTCGATGCCCGAGAAGATTTGGGAAAAGTCATGGAAGTGGGGGGGGAACACAAGCATCCAGAAAAG